CACATGCTCTCATCAGCAGAGGAAGGCAATGGCAAACCTTGTCTGCAGAAATCTTACCAAAATGGGAGAAAGTTGTCATAAATTACAGTTGAGCTGGCACACAGGAATAACAACACATCATATATTTCACATGGAAACCTTAGCAGTGGGCATGCAAGAAATACTAAAAATGAAGATTTGGAAATATATTTTATTTTCATATCTAGTCTGCCTTGGGTGTTGGAGAAACACTGTGCTTTTCCTACACTGAGGTTTTTGGGGGAGGATTGCTTTTGAGTTGGAAAATGGACTTTTAAGTTGGCAGAAACCTTCTGGTGGTTGTGGGAGGTAGAGAAGTCCTGTTTAGAATTCTAGCTGAGGGCTGCCCAGTCATTCACTCAACTTCAATGCCACACACAGTGCTTTAATAGGTATTCTTGCATCCCTAAGTAGGCTGAGTGGAGTAATTGTGTCAGGCTTACTGCAGCATGTGCACTTGCAACCACCTATGGCAGAAAATCTGGCCTGTAATTTCAGGTTGTGTCACAGAACATTAGGATAGGTGGGTATCATACAATGATCTTTGGCAGGGATGTGCAGAATGTAGATCAGCATGGAGAGACAGTGTGGTATATTAGTTAGAGCCTTTGACTGTCACCAGGGTCACGTTCTCGTATAGCCATGAAACTAACTTAGGGCCTTTACAGACTGCCAGAAATAATGCAGCTTGAGGCCACTTTAACTGTCCTGGCTCAGTGCTAGAGAATCATGGGAATTGTATTTTTTTCTGGGACCTTCTCTGCCAGAGAGCTCTGAACCTTCTCTGCCAGAGAGCTCTGGTGCCACAATAAACTACAGTTCCCATGATTCCTTGGCACTGAGCCAGGACAGTTAAAGTGGCCTCAAGCTGCATTATTTCTGGCAGTCTGTAAAGACCCTTAGTGACCTTGGGCCTCCTTCAGAGCCTATCCTACCTCTCAGGGTTTTTGTGAGGCTAGCTTGCACAAAGTACAGTGAGCCATTGGTATTCACTGGGGTTTGATTCCAGGACCCCCCTGTGGATACCAAAACCCATGGCTGTTCAAATTCCATTAAATACAATGGCATAGTAAAATGGTGTCCCTTACATAAAATGTCAAAATCAAGGTTTTGTTTTTTTGAATTTATGTTTTTAAAAAATATTTTCAAGGTGTGGATGGTTGAATCTGTGGATAAAGAATCTGTGGATATGGAAGGCCAACTGTATTGGCGAGGTCAGAGGGGTGGGGGGCTCCTTGTTGCCCTGCATGAACTGAATGTACATTGTAATGCATGCTAGACCTTCCAAGATTGTTGTAGATGACAATCTATAGAACTGGGCTCATCTTTTCATTCCAAAACTCTTGATAACTTTCAAAGCAGCTAAACTGGATGCACCCACGAGAGAGATTCCTTCAAATCTATCCTTCTTTCCTTGCATTTTCCCCTTCCACACTGCATTTCATCCTCTCTGTTTTTTCATTTTATTAATGCTGATTTCTGCTTCTATTTGTAATTCTTTTAGGTTTGTGATTTTCAGCAGTTATATCAAGTGATGTCCTGCTGAGGGAAAGGTTTGATAAATTAGAACCAGATAGTGTGTGTGTATGTATTAAAAAATTAAGGATATTTTAAACAAGAAACATCAAGGGTTGTAGGGAGCTGCAGAGACCTTGTACATAGATGATGTGGGTGTTGAGTCCTTGCCAATTAAAATTCATCAGGCTGTACACTGGTTTGTCTTGATGGGAGCCTAGAAGGGGCTTGAAGGATTTAAAATTCAACCAATGACAACACTGGCTTGTTTGTATGTCATTCATCTGTTGTTGCAACATCACAAACCTCCCAAATGCAATTCTTCCTGAATGGATTGTGTTGAATGACCATATAGGTAGAATGTGGAATAGTTACTTTTTGATTACTGCTCATAGCATCCTCCGTCCAGTATAGCCAATGGCTATGTAAGTTGTGGGATTCTGGTAGTCCTTGACCAAAAAAGGAACTTCTTCAAGCTCTACATATGAGTTATCCTAATGATAGCATTTACATTCTGGAGCTGCAACTTGCAGCTGGAAGAAGCGCTGGATATGTTGTTCCTGCTGATCGCATACTGTTGCTCTTGGCATGAAATTAGAAGTTCTGCTTTGCTGAGTCAGACCAGTGTCCGCCTCATTTGGCATTTCTCTGCAACACTGACCAGCTGGAGTCTTCCAGAATATTAAGAGCAGAGCAGGAAAAAGATGGCCAATGCTGGCTTTAGGGTTCTGAGGGCAAAACAAACTAAATACAGTGAAGCATTGTGTTAACACCCACCAAGTCAGTTTCGACATATGGTGACCCTATGAATGACAGACCTCCAAGTTACCCTGTCATCAACAGCCCTGCTCAGGTCTTGCAAATTCAAGGCTGTGGCTTCTTTGATTGAGCCTATCCATCTGGAATGAGGTCTTCCTCTTTTCCTACTATCTTCTACCTTACCAAGCATTGTTGTCTTTTCTATTAAGTCTCCTGACATGTCCAAAATACAGCAGTCTCAGTTTAGTAATCTTGGCTTATAAGGAGAGTTCATGCTTGATTTTGCTCTAGGGCCCATTCATTTGTTATTTTAGCAATCCATGGAATCCAGTACCACAGTTCGAATGAGTTTATTTTCTTCCTATCAGCTTTCTTCACTGTCCAGCTTTCACAACCATACATAGAAATTGGAAATACTGTGTCCAGTTCTGAGCGCCACAATTCAAAAAGGATGTTGACAAGCTGGAGCGTGTTCAGGGAAGGGTGACCAAAATGGTGAAAGGTCTGAAAACCATGCCCTATGAGGAGACACTTAGGCAGCTGGGTATGTTTAGCCTGGAAAAGAGAAGGTTAATGGGTGACATGATAGCCGTTTTTAATGACTGTGGCAAAGTATGAAAAATCTTTTAACTTGTCAGTGTCTTCATCGTTTGCTTTAAAGTTGTGTAAATCTTTATCATATAACCAAGGTGTGTAATTCATTGCCACAGGATATAGCAATGGCTGCCAACTAAGACAGTTTTAGAAGGGGATTGGATAAATCTAGAGCAGGCGTAGGCAACCTAAGGCCCGGGGGCCGGATGCGACCCCCTGAGGCCTTTGGACTGGCCCCAGGCCGGTCCTTCCGCCGCCGCCGCTGCCCACCATGATGATATTGATTATTGTTGTTATTACTTGTTCTTGGGGTTTTCTTGGCAAAATCTCCACAGGGGTTTTGCCATGGCTTTTCTGGGGCTGAGAAAGTGTGCATGCATATATTTTTTTAAATTAATTTTTAAAAATATTTTATTTATTTATTTATTTATTTATTTATTTATTTATTTATTGGTGCTTCGGCCCCCCAATTGTCTAAGGGACAGCAACCCGGCCCCCGGCTCAAAAAGGTTGCCTGCCCCTGATCTAGAGAGACTAGCTCCTGAGGGTGACTGTCACATCCATTGTCAGAGGCAGGATGCTTCAGCACTTTTACGCTGTAAAATGAGAGATGAACATAGTTGCTGTCCTGTTCTGCTGGCAAGGTATCCATAAACAACTGGATGGCTGACTGAACAAAATGGTGGACTAGATAGGTCTTTGGTCAAACCATGTGCCCATCCAACCTTGGTTTAAAATTTCCAGCAAAGCAGAGTCTACCATCTACTGTGATAAACTATTCCACTGTCAAACAGCTCTAATTTTCTGGAAGTTCTTCCTAATGTTTAGCTAAGTCTTCTTTCTTGAAATTGAATCTGCTGGTTTAGGTCCTATCATCTGGAGCAGCAGAAGACCCACCTCACTCCATTTTCCACCTGATAGTTTATCATGGTAGGCTATGGTATCAATTTTCATTTTTCTCTTCAGGCTAAACTGTCCAACTCCTTCAGTTCTTTCTCATGGGGCTTATTTCCAGATGTTTTTCATCTGGGTCTCTTTTCTTTCCATTTGAACCCACTGCTTTGTGTCCTAGTTTCTGAAGCGGCAGAAAACAAAAATTTTACATCCTCTGTAGGGCATCACTTTATATAGCTGTCATACAACATCTCTGTCTTCTCTTCTTTAGGCTAAACCAGGGCAAGGCAACCTTTTTGAGCCAGGGGCCAGGTTGCTGTCCCTCAGACAAT